ATTTCGAGTTAAAGTGTGTGATGAGGAGATTCGAATGTCGATCTCTCCAAAAGACTGATGGCCATGTGTCGGTCAAATGACAGGGCCTTCTAGCGGGATCAAACTTTGAATCTCTTCATAAAAAAAATATTTTATTTGCAATGCAAGTAAGCTGAACAATAATAAGTCAAGAGATTCCCAGAAACAAAAATTTTCTTTCCATTTAATCAAGCATTATTAGTTGTATTCACCCTATTTCGTTTAAGATGACGAAGGATGGTAGTTGATTTTTCCCACAATGATATGAATAGAGCTGACGTTTCCATTGAATTTCACATAGCATTGCTTTATCAAAAGATGTTGTTGTCCAAGGTGGGCCGCAGTTTCAACCTCTCATAGGTCTTACCAACACACCAAGCAGGAGTCGAACCATGATAATGCAGCGTGTAATCTCGACACGTTAAGCCTTTGGGTCATAGAGTAGTTGTGAATTTCAAGTAATTTCAAGGAATTATAGTCAATTTCCATATCACATTCCGTGTTGGAATTGTCGATGAAGCAAACTTATATTTGCTATAGCAATCAACGACACTACCTTTTTTCGTAAGTGTCGGTTTTCGAGACCACTTTGGGAAAGCAAGGAACTGTGAAATTCAATGGAAACGTCATTGTGGGAAAATTCAACTTCCAGTCCTTCATTATCTTAAACGAGATAGAGTGAATGTAATTCAGATATCTGATTTACTGGTAGTCTCGAAAGTATACTCACTTACAAACATTAATAATTACAGGTTTAGCAAGCTCGACAGAACGCACTACAAGGCACGACAATCTAATCTGCCGTTGTACTCGAAGAAATAATGAGTATGGAGGATGTAACCTTAAGATGAAAGAATAGATAGATTTATGGGGAGCTTACTTCCGAACGAAGGTGAGCATCCGGTGGTCGCCTCCAACATGAGTTGGCGTTTCAGCTCGTGTGGATTAGATGCCAGCGCGGCGGCCAGTGCTGATGCCGTCGATGTGGCCGTCGTCGTCACCGAGGTGGTCTTCTCAAACAGTCCTTCCGCCGCCTCCGCTGCCGCTACCAAGCCGCCGGGGCACAAACCAGCAGCCGCCGAGCTCGGAGTGAAGGCCAGGCCGATTTCGTCCAAATGAGCACCAGCAAAGGGGCCAGAAAGCCCTATAAATCCATTCTCGCAGGCGACCAAATCGCCGATCTGATTCTGATGGGCGGCAGATGCTACCCTTCCGAGTCCGATGGAGCCATTAGCGTTGGCTGCCTGCCAGCGTTTGGCTCGAGTGATTCGTAGAAGCTCGGTTTGATTCCGTCTGCCACGGAGCAACCTCAGCACAGGACGAAATCCGACACCGGCCAGTATGCAAGAGGTGAAGCCGAGCACCAGGTAGGATGTAAGCAAGAGTGATGCGGCAGCTGTGGAGCCACTAGCAGACGGTTCTGAGGGAGGGGTTACGGGAAGGGAGCTGCTGATCACGGCTGCTAAGAGGAAAATGTATAGAATACATATAGAATTTGTACTCCTCACATCTTATAAATATAGCTTTAGTTACAACTGTTAATATCGTTATTTCTCGTCGTTTTTAATTATAACTAAAAATTTAATGAGACACATTATTCGTCAACCAAACACTATATCCATCTGGCAGACGGAAGTAAAGGACTCGGAAATTTTATATCAATCCTCCAGAGAAAAAGGCGTACATTCTTAGTAAGCTCAACAGAGGACCACCAATCCCGTAATCAGTGTCGTAATTCATAAGCAATAGTAACTCCGAAAGAAAAAATAGCGAGACCAAAAACACGCATGTACAAGTATGTGTGTCAATTGATTCATAAAGATAACGAACATTCTGTGCTGCAATTACCAGTTGATATTTTTTTAATAGCATAGTCAGGTCTACTTTTTTTTGAATATTTTTGGCTAGTCTTGTATGGGCCAATTTAGTTATGACTAGACTAGTCTAGCTTATATGAAGTGTGTTACCCCTATTTCGCTTAAGATGATGAAGGACTGGTAGTTGAATTTTCCCACAATGATATGAGTAGAGCTAACGATTCGATTGAATTTCACATGGGCTTGCGTTCCCAAAAGGTGCTCCCATCCAAGCTGGATTGCAGTTTCGACAACACCGCCAGCGGAACTCGAACTATGACAGTGCAGTAGGTAATCTCGGCAAGTTAACTACTAAGCCATATTGCCACGAGAGCCTTTGTGAATTTCAAGGGGGTCCAGGCCTTTTACTATATCACATTCTTTGGTTATATTGTCGATGAGGCTATAACGATCGACTACATTACTTATTTTTCGTTTTACAAGTATGCTCTTCGATACTACCAGAAGATCATTTACATATGAAGTGCATTCACCCTATTTCACTTAAGGGGCGATGAAGGACTGGTAGTTGAAGGAAATAGAGGGAATGCACTTCATATATAAATAATATGTTGGTAGACTCGAAAAACCAACTTAAAAGCGACACTTG